TAAACTTCAAGGCGGGGGTATTTTTAGGTTAATCTACGTTTAAAATATAAAAGATAGATGATATATATTTAAATGGATGGATATATATATATATATATATAAGATAAGATAAGATAAGATAAGATAAGATAAAGTTTATTGCTAAAATAAATGTATCTGTATACAGATAGAGTTTACAATTACAAATTGATGAAAAAAGATAAAAGGAAGGGTTTAACCTGAATCACATTGATGGAAACCGTTTACAGCAAGATTCAAACTTTTAACCCTATCATGATGGGGGTGAGGGGGGGGGGGTGTCCAATCCCCCATGCCCTTGTGGATTTTTTTCCTAAACTTAAAACATAGAACGCTAAAATCATTATTTTTTTATGCACATGTATCAGAGAAGGGTCGGCAAAAGTGTTTGGTTTGGACTTTAGCTGGTTAAGACGACATCTCTTGGAAAAGGTCCCAAATTAGATTTACAACAGGATAAGTGTAGGTCGGTAGAAGGTCAAACATAGCCCAATCGGTAAAGGGTTAAAATAAATCTTGTGAGCTCATTAAAGGGACAGACCGGCTATGTAAGGTACTTGAACTGAGTATGCAGTGTTGTGGACAAATTCTTTATGATTCATATTTGAGACATTTAAAAGTTTATAAAGATCTGTAAATCTTGAGTTTGAGCGCAAAGTCAACGTTCAAAATCGCACTTTTGGGTGGATACGTTTTCAGAATTGTTTTTTTTTTATTTTCTATTATTAAAAAACGACGACAAAAAATGTAAACAAAATTTTATTGTAAACTAATTAGTTGTTTAATCTTATCATCGAAAATAATTAATCTTGTTCAATTAGTAGTTTCTATTTTCTCATTATTCTAGTTTCTCATTATTCACAAAGTTTTTCTGAAGATATTCTGGAATTATTATTGAAAAGACGACATTTGAAGAATTTGTAGAAATCTGCGAATAAATTTTAAGAAAATAAGAAATTCAATATAATTACAACAATTTCTAAAAAATCAAGAATGGGTAAAAATATGATAAAATTCTATGAATCTTTTTAATCATGTTATTAAAGTAAATTGATCAGAATTAAGTATGTGCGTAAAAGATGAATAAACTTAATCGGTTCTCCGAATAACGTTTTTCGACGTATTCACATTTAAAACTAGCATCTTAGAAATTCACTATGACAATACTGAAGTAAAACAGAAAATTTTGAAGAAATTCAGTCACTGTTTTCTGGTCTGCTTTTAATTGGTAAAGATAGTAAAAGAATGCGAACAAACTTTTTTGCATCTCTCGTACATTCTGCTTTCATCCCATGTAATGATAGAATACATTTTTCTGACGAGAGTTGAATTCTCATATTTCTGTCATTTTATTCAAAGGGGGGATGGGGGGGGGGGTAATTTAAGCTTTGCCTTTCAACATATCTATGAAATAAAAACCACATTTTTTATTAGATTTTGGACCTTTTTCTGTCGTCAAAAAAACCTGCTAAACAAATTGCTTAGGCAGTTCAGCAACCATGAAAATCTATTAAAGAGACTGAAATGTCATGTCACCCTCAATGAAAAGATTCACAACGGTACCATTGAAACCTTTGTCTGATCGATAATATGGAAAATTTTGGCGTTTTTCTAGATTTAAAAGTGGTGTATTATTAAGTTTTTACCTTTTATTGAAAATAGGTTATCGCCATCTTTACATGGAGGGTCACTTGAAATGATGCTTACAATCCCTTTAATGGAGGGGCACTTGAAATTATACTTACAGTCCCTTTAATGGAGGGTCACTTGAAATTATGCTTACAGTCCCTTTAATGGTGGGTCATTTGAAATTATGCTTACACTCCTTTTAATGGAGGGTCACTTGAAATTATACTTACAGTCCCTTTAATGGAGGGTCATTTGAAATTATGCTTACAGTCCCTTTAATGGAGGGTCACTTAAAATTATGCTTACAGTCCTTTTAATGGAGGGTCACTTGAAATTATGCTTACAGTCCCTTTAATGAAGGGTCACTTGAAACTATGCTTACAGTCCCTTTAATGAAGGGTCACTTTAAATTATGCTTACAGTCCCTTTAATGGAGGGTCACTTGACATTATGCTTACAGTCCCTTTAATGGAGGGTCACTTGAAATCATGCTTACAGTCCCTTTAAATTCTGTCCTGGGTACCTAAAGTTTGGAGTATAAAATAAGATAAAGATTATTAATGTTTTTAAGTTAAGAAGGTACAAAAATATAAATACGTCTCAGCATCACATCAATTTCCCTTCTTTCCTTCTCTTTGTAACATTAAACCTGGAGAAATTACACAGATATAAACATTACTTTTCTTCTTCAAGAAATGGAGAGGAGGAGGGGGACATGGACCAATATGAACAAACTAGAATAGGGTATCGTTTTTGTGAACAATGGTGCAGTCGTTCAGAAATTCGCGAACCTGGAACGAACGATTTGGATCGTTCGGAGGAACGGTTTTTTACTGAAAGATTTATTTTTTACAACTTTTGAAAACAATATCGTTTATTACTAAATGACCGATATTACTCAACGACTGAAGAAACGATCGGTCAGTATAAGAAAACGAACGAAATAAGATGCAAAATGAACAAAGATTATGAACAGAACCATTTATTTTTTCCTTTCACAATTGACCAACCTGAGAAAGATGCGTTCCGTTTCTTCAATTTTAAATCAGACTCTTATTAAATATCCAGAACATTCTGTTCGAAATTTTTAACAAAATTTTTGTTGCATCACATACTTTCGTAGTTCAATTATCTTTCTGATTAAAAATCTGATTGGAAAATAACAAAACAAAACATCTAGGATTGATTGATTAGCTGGCAGAGAAAAAAGTTCTTAGATCAATTAGCTTATTCAGATTTAGAGCAGTATGATGAACCCACAGAGTATAAAGTAAACAGAGGAAAAATAACAGTTTCCCTCTGTATAAATATTTTTAGTCTCTGTGGGGCCTGAACAGGAGTTTATTTGTAAATGTTCACATATTTTACGCAATACATCACAAGAATTCAGTTCAATGGAAAATCCGTTACATGATGTTAACTTTTAAACATCAAGTTTCGTTATTATTATTATCATCATTATTTAAGCTAAGGTTTAACCGTAGAAATATAATTTCCAGGACCCCAAAGGTTATAGAAGACATAGTGTGAAGTAAACATGCAGTACAGCGCAACAGTACAACAAAATGGCGGTTTTACACTTTTTTAAAGCTAGTTGATATTTCTACTCTTTGGTTGACCCCTTTATCTCTCTTACTCTTCCTCTCTGGGAAAATAGAAAAAAAACATTTGTTGTAAGAACAATAAACATTTATAATAAATTATAAATGCTGAAGGACTAATTCACAAATGCTTCCTGTTTCACACTTTTCTCTGACTTACTATAAAAATATAAAAGTTTCTTGTCAGAAAAATAAATTTAATTCGAGATTGAAAAGACAGGATTTACCCAATTTATTAAACCTGTCTCACTTGTCAGCTCCATTCCATTTTTGATTGATCACTTTTTATAACTGCTGACAAAGCCTCCCCCCCCCCCACTGTTTCTTAAGGCATAGCAGAGAGATTTTTGCAGACTTTTTTCAGAGTTATTAGTCTACTTGGAGATCTGATATTTGAGTTAAATGGATGTTTGGCAATATCTTTGGAAATTATTTCGGTTTTCTTACAGGGACTTATAGTAAGAGGAATCATATAAGATTTTAATCTTACATACAATTTACTTCAGTTTAGTTTGACGTGATATCGAGATAGAATTTACTTTAGTTTGACGTGCTTTAGAGATAGAATTTACTTTAGTTTGACGTGATATGGAGATAGAATTTACTTTAGTTTGACGTGATATGGAGATAGAATTTACTTTAGTTTGACGTGCTTTAGAGATAGAATTTACTTTAGTTTGACGTGATATGGAGATACAATTTACTTTAGTTTGACGTGCTATGAAGATACTAAATCAACGGTCCTCAAACAAAACTGACTAATTGTTAAATTATAAAAGTTCTCCCCACAGACTCAGAATCTTCATAAAAAAAGTTAAAGCTCGATGCGGTCCATTTTAAAGAAAAAAAATCATACAATCTCCATTAAGCAGTCAACTAGAGGTATAAATTTTGTGAAATTGTCAATTATTCAAATTAAAATAAATTGGATTGCACCGAGAAATGGTTGGCGCAGAAGGGCAGAATGAAAATGTTGGATTTAATAGGATGGTACAGGGTGTCCTACAAAACATGATAGTTAGGAAACAATTTGATGTCGTCTTTGATTTGAAAAATAATTTTCCGCATTCATAAACAAATTTTAGGAGTAGAATTATTGAATTAATAATCACAAAATTGCCCTAGTTTGTGCAATTCATAAATGTGGTCTGTCCTTATGTGGTGCTTTCAAAGTCAATTTTGTTTTGATTTCGACAAAAATCTAAGATTAGAGACGATATTCGAGTTGTCTGTCAATTGTCATGTTTCCCTGCATAATCTAGGAAAGAAGATGTAAGGAGAGAGACTGACATTGCTAATTGTGGTCATGAAGAAAAATTATTAAATAAAAGTTTTCAGAGCTTTTTCAAAATTTTGTATATACGTTGAAAACTGTATTTCTTTTTATACAATTTAAGCTATTTCTTTTATATAAATAGGTTAGAATAAAACTTACTGATTAAGAAGAAAACTTACTGATTAAGAAGAAAACTTACTGATTAAGAAGAAAACTTACTGATCAAGAAGAAAACTTACTGATCAAGAAGAAAACTTACTGATCAAGAAGAAAACTATCTGATTAAGAAGAAAACTTATTAAATGAAAAAACCTACTAATTAAATAGAAAATTTACTGATTCAAAAGAAAACTTACTGATCAAGAAGAAAACTTACTGATCAAGAAGAAAACTTACTGATCAAGAAGAAAACTATCTAATTAAGAAGAAAACTTACTGATCAAGAAGAAAACTATCTAATTAAGAAGAAAACTTACTAATTAAGAAAAAAGTATAGTTTGGAGAAAAGCTAGAAATAGTTCCAGAAACCACCGTTAGGAGGAGCAGACCAAGCATGGTGTGGCGGCGACCAAACCTAGATTAAACAAAGAAACCATGATATCAGGATGCAAAGGTGTATAGGGATCTTAAAATTGGAGGAAGAAGAGGCAGAAAAGAACTGATCATTCACACCAAATTCTCATTCTCTAATTCTATCTCTAATTTTGTTAGATTTATTTGTTAAAAATGTTAAGTATCATACTGCAATCACATCTCTTTTTTTTCTTTTTCTTTTTAAAAACTATGATGCTTAACCTGGAAATTTCAAATCAGAAAACAAAAAATGTCAATGGAGTGTCACAAGATCAGGACCAGAGAGTTCGTAGACGTGCTCTTAGGAAAAACGACCCTGACAAATCTTCTTTCACTTTATTAAAAAATAATCAATAAATTCTTTGAACTAATTGTTTTCAGTTTTTACAAAAGTGTCAGTCGCTAAAGGAAGTTTGAAGCTTGTTGGGGGAAACCCAGTATTCTGTTTACAAAACTGTAAATTGATCTATCGGCCCAAAAGACGGTGTGGTACTTCTAACTAATTTAACAATGAATACCTGTCACTGAGAAGTCCGGCAGATAATACTCCACACATTAGACCAAAGAACGTCATTTGTTGGGTAAACTTGGTGTACTGAGCACGCTAAAACAATAAACTTAGTGTACTAAACACGCTATAATAATATACTTAGTGTACTGAACACGCTATAATAATATACTTAGTGTACTGAGCACACTAACATTAGATGGCTGATGTACTGAGCTCGCTAAAATTATATACTTAGTGTACTGAGCACGCTATAATGATATACTTAATGTACTGAGCACGCTAAAATTAAATACTTGGTGTACTGAGCACGCTGTAATAATATACTTAGTGTACTGACCACGCTAAAATAATAAACTTAGTGTACTGACCACGCTAAAATAATATACTTAGTGTATTGAGCACACTAACATTAGATAGTTGGTGTATTGAGCCCGCTAAAATTATATACTTGGTGTACTGAGCACGCTATAATGATATACTTAATGTACTGAGCACGCTAAAATTAAATACTTAGTGACAGAAGAAAACGAAATGCACAAGGTTTGCAAAGAAATTTTTGCCAACTATTTGCATACAACCTGTCAAAAGAAATTTGCACATTTTTAGTTTTTCTTAATTGCACATCAGGTCATTTAAAATTTAGCTATTTTTCTGAAAATTTAAATGACATGGTCAAGGGTTTTTCAAAAATGTATTTTTTTGGACATTTATTAGCCAACATTTATACTATAAAACTTCAGATTTTGCAAAAAGAAGATTTAATTTTGCAAATTTGCAAATTTTTTGCAGATTCTAAAAGAGGAGAACAAGAGCTTTCCATTAATGTATCATTTGTCATATTTGGACATCAAAATCGGGATTTAGTGGGTCGGTGTCAAATTGAGCCCCCCCCCCCCTAGCGTGTTCTGGTTTTCATGAGCAACCCAACAGGGAAAGGGTCAAAACCACTGCCTCTTCAAGAATAAATGAGATATCTTAATTTTTCTCTCTGAAAAAGAACTGTTTTTAATCATGGTTATTGTTTTTTATATAGATGGATTTATTGGGTACCATTGTGCATCAGTATTCTCTGACTACAAAAGAAGGGTTTCTTAAATTATAATTTCCCTCAAAACCTTTTTTCAAAACTATGAGCACTCCTCTTTATATTTAAATGTAATACAGGGTGTCTAAAAAAACTGTGCAGTAGGGGTATTAGTAACTGAGGAAACAATTTTCGTTCTATTTTTACGATCAAGGTGTCATTCGAAAGCTCTATATTTCAGTTATTTCATGATGTAAAATTTTTCTATCCAGGCCTCATACTTTTTTTTGTTACAACCAATTATTTGAGCCCAAGTCGAAAATCGAATTCCCGGATTTTTCAATTTTTCGATTTTTCACATTTCATTTTCATTTGTTCATAAAGTATGGAAAATTTTGAAGATTTTCGAAAATTTTTTTAAAATTATAAGCTGTTAGTCTTAGGTTTAATTTTTGACTAAAATTTTGGATCAGCGATTTTTACATGACGATGTTTGTGTGCTATTAATATAATTTAACCTCCTAAAATGACCCCTTAGAAATAAAATTTGCGGATACTGACCTCGGTGGTAAATTTTTTCACAAACCAATATCATTGTTGAACCATGCATATGCTTTTACGTAAAAAACAATACCTTGGACGGCTTGTGCTCTCTAAGACATAAGTTTACATTTGAGAATGTGTTCTTTTTTTGCGTGAACAGTCCCATAGAAGGCCCCATGAAAAAAAAACTTACAACATTTTTGGCCTATTTAACTACCTAATACCTTGAACCTATCATATAAATGGAATAATAACAATTGAAAGCATGAACATCATTTCTAAAGTAAAAATATTATTAATTAAAGTGATGACTTTTTAAAAAAAAATTTTGTAATTTCAGATTCACAAAAATGTTTTATTTTTGTACCCTGGTGGGTTAGATAAAAAAAATTTGATTGAAATAGCGAGCTGTGGATTGTGCCAACTGATTTCATAAAGAAAATTTTAAAAAATTTTTTTGTGGTCTGGGCAAGGTTCGTACGGAGGTACCCATAGCTCTCTTTTCGATTTTTTTTCAATGCATATTTTTTTTTTAGATTGCTCTAGCTCCAAAAGTAATAATCGCTGATCCAAAATTTCAGTTACAAATGAAACCTAAGACTAACAGCTAACTAAATTATTTAAAAAAAAAGTTTTGAAAATCTTTAAATATTTCCAAACTTTATGAACGAATGAGATGTGAAAAATCGAAAAATTGAAAAATCCGGGAAATCGATTTTCGACTTAGGCTCAAATAATTGGTTGTAACAAAAAAAAGTATGAGGCCTAGAAAGAAAAATTTTACATAATGAAATAACTGAAATATAGAGCTTTCGAATGACACCTTGATCGTAAAAATTGAACGAAAATTGTTTCCTCAGTTACTAATACCCCTACTGCACAGTTATTTTTGAGACACCCTGTATGTACACAATTTTATAAGAAAAATTTAAAATTTTGTGTATTTAGCCAAATAAAAGATAATGGTAAACTAAATTAACTTCTCCGGGAGTAAATATCACTTTTCTGTAATAAAAAAAGGAAAATATCATTTTCCAATAATAATAATAATCCGTAATAAAAAAAATAACAAGTTATTTGTTAATTGACTGTTTCAAAGGTTTATTGAGATTACTCTTTCCCTTTTACATTTAATATTTAGAGAGATTTAATTTTCTGATATTAGAGTTTTTGTCAAGAGCTGAATATATCTCCCTCCCCCCCCCCCCCCCCCCCCATCTGCATTTCCTTTCATTTCCTACATTTTCTTTCTTATGCAAATGTTCATCTTAACCCTATAAATTCTGGGGGGTCTGAATCTAAGTAAAGACTCGGGGGGGCGTCCCAAAAAAAATGCCAAATTTTTTTTTTTGTCTTAAACAGATACCGAAGTGTGAGAAGTTTTTCTGCATCCATTTTTTAATGGCTTTTTCAAATTGAAGTTGTTAGATCTATAGCTTTTAGTCATGAAAAATTTATTGACTATTTTTGATTTTCTTTTACACAGACCGAACTTTTTACCGCCCTGTACTGCTATTAATTTCTATTAATTAAAAGTAAAAAAATTCACAGGGAAAGTGTCAAAAATGAGAGTGCTATGGCAAAAAAAACTAGAGGGGGGAACGCAAAACGCCCCCACTCAACCCGCCTGTTTAAAAGGGTTAAAGGGACTGTAAGCGTAATTTTCAGTGACCCTTCATGCAAAGAGGACAATGTCCAATTCACAACCTTCATGTGATCAATTGATTCATTGACTTAAAAGTTTTATAATTCCTGTAGTTTTTCCTCGTAGTAGAAATGCGCAATTACTTTTATACGTTGATATATACCGTATTTATACTTGATCAGAATAAACTTTGCAAGGGTACAGTTGAGAATCGGGCATTGTCATCTTGGCATGGAAGGTCACTTGAAATTATGCAGGCAGTCCCTTTAACCCTAAACAGGCTGTGGGGTGGTGCCCCCCTCTAGTTTTTTGCCCTAGCACTCTCATTTTTGACACTTTCCCTGAGAAATTTCTTTAATAAATAGAAATTTGTAGGATTTTTTGTAAAATTTCTTAGTTTCTGTAAGAGGCATTTTTTATACAAATAATCAAAATTTACGACATTTTGAAAACAACTATATTTGAATATATAAAATATAGTTATATCTGTTTGTGTCTGTATTTGTGTTTGTTTGTATAACGCCCGATCATAACTCCTGTACCCGATTTGCCTCAAATTTTGATTGTGAAACGAATTCATTAAAACCCTGGAGATATTCCTAGCTTGGTTAAGAGATTATAAGTACAGTGGGTCGACTTATTTTCAAAAGGGAGTACTGAGCTGGGAACTTGTATGCTGGATACACAATATTTGAAGCAAATCGGTCAGGGGGGGTTCATGAATCGGTCAGGGGGGTTCATGAATCGGTCAGGGGGTTCATGAATCGGTCAGGGGGGTTCATAAATCGTGAGTTGATCGTACATACAAACAGACAAACAGAGATTATAACTTTGTATTTATCCATAAATAATGAAATGATTATTCAATTAAGAATTATATGCATTAATTTGTAACAGAAGGTTTTTCCAATAATATGGATTAAAATATGCTTTTATATAAAATAGATTTATAAATAATTTTTACATTAAATCCACATTATATATTCCAAATTTTGTATTTACTTTTTAAAAGATTTGGTCTTTTGCGCTATTTTTCAATACTTACATCGCAAACAAGATTAAAATCCATTATAATCGTTCTCTCCCAGAAGCTAGTATCATATTCCCATTCTAAAATAGAGAAGCTATAGTGTCATATTCACATTCTAAAATAGAGAAGCTATAGTGTTATATTCCCATTCTAAAATAGAGAAGCTATAGTGTCATATTCCCATTCTAAAATAGAGAAGCTATAGTGTCATATTCCCATTCTAAAATAGAGAAGCTATAGTGTCATATTCCCATTCTTTAATAGAGAAGCTTTAGTGTCATATTCCCATTATAAAATAGAGAAGCTATAGTGTCATATTCCCATTCTAAAATAGAGAAGGTATAGCGTCATATTCCCATTCTAAAATAGAGAAGCTATAGTATCATATTCCCATTCTAAAATAGAGAAGCTTTAATGTTATATTCCCATTCTAAAATAGAGAAAATATAGTGTCATATTCCCATTCTAAAATAGAGAAGGTATAGCGGCATATTCCCATTCTAAAATAGAGAAGCTATAGTGTCATATTCCCATTCTAAAAAAAAAGAAGCTATAGTGTCATATTCCCATTCTTAAATAGAGAAGCTATAGTGTCATATTCATATTCTAAAATAGAGAAGCTATATTATCATATTCCCATTCTAAAATAGAGAAGCTTTAGTGTCATATTCCCATTCTAAAATAGAGAAGCTATATTGTCATATTCCCATTCTAAAATAGAGAAGCTAAAGTGTCTTATTTTTATTTAGTGTGTGACACCAGTTCTCGTTAGCTCAAGCTGAAGTTCATGGGATCGATTCCCGTACACCAAACAAACCTGTGGTTTCAAAGACATCTGAAGCCGGCATCTGGTTAAGAAGTTATGACCACCTGACGGATGTAGGAGGACAGAGGGGGGCTATCTAGAGTTGTCGCAGCGAAAGTGTGCGTGCTTTCACTCAACAAGAAAGAAACTTTAAGTGGATTGATCCAAGTGAATGATGATGAAGAGAGGAAAGGTTGACAATCAGAGAAAGTCTCTGGTTTCCAGCTATAGATACCTGGAGGGGTCTAATCCGAGCTTACAAATGATTGAGAGCATTAATTGTGATGTTTCCTATCTGTAAGGCACTCGGGCCTCATTCCAATCAGAACAATTCCTGCACCATGCTATTCTCATGAATAGTCTGTTTATGAATACATGAGATATCGACCATCTTCAATTTAAAAGCTGATTATTTTTAATTGTGGTTTTTCTAAAGTGATTTCTGCTTCAAAAAGAATATTGAGATAATTGTCAGAATTAAATGCTTTAAGGAGAAAATTGTTAAAAACGACTAATGCTAAAGAACGTAGCGTCCATACAAATTCAGAAAGTTGCAACATTTAACAATAAATCTAATTCCCAAAAATTATTCAGCTATAAAAACAATAGTCGTCGATTATTTTTCGACGCATTCGTATATGGTAAATATTTCAAAATATTTCTCCTTATAGACGCAACAGATAGAAGTAAGATGAGTAGCGATCAAAAGCGCTTATTTTTTCCGTAAGCCTATACCCCCTTTCATTTTTCGCAAAAACTCCTTTCAAAGATCTAAGGGTGCTGCTGTTAATCGGACATCGTAATCTTTTCATGGAGTGTCACTTAAAAGAAATGAAAATAAACATAATACCACAACTTTTAGATTTCCCTGAGAGGACCATATCTTCAAAACCATTATTTTGAAAGTGAACTTTCCACTGTCGTAATTTTCAGTTACTCTCAACTGGCATGATAGGCATGTCAGATTCAGAATGGTACTGTTAAGAGATAGGCATGTCAGATTCAGAATAGTACTGTTAAGAGATAGGCATGTCAGATTCAGAATGGTACTGTTAAGAGATAGGCATGTCAGATTCAGAATGGTACTGTTAAGAGATAGGCATGTCAGATTCAGAATAGTACTGTTAAGAGATAGGTATGTCAGATTCAGAATAGTACTGTTAAGAGATAGGCATGTCAGATTCAGAATAGTACTGTTAAGAGATAGGCATGTCAGATTCAGAATAGTACTGTTAAGAGATAGGCATGTCACGTTCAACTGTTTTTTTTTCTTTAAATGGTTTAACGGTTGACGTTTTTAATGTGTATGCGTGTTTCTTAAAACTTTCCTATAAACACCACTTTTCTATTGATCAGTGCACTGCAGAACACACCAAAAACTTAGTTTAGGGTACTTCATCAAAAAAATGATGTTGATGTACTTTTAAAAATATACTTTGGGCTTACCTTGACATTTTTCATACTCTGCTTCTACTTCTCTCTCTTTGTCCTGATATTGATATTTTGTTTAGAAATTTAACTAGATGAAGTGCCCGGCGTTGCCCGGGGAATTTTATAAAAAATCGGTTTAAAAAAATATTTGAAAGATAAATTTTATTTTTGTAAAAATTTCAAATAAAAAAAATCGATCAGGGTACCCGTGGATTTCCTAAAAAAATTCAGCCAATTCGGTTCAGCCGTTTGGCTAGCTGAAATAAATATATCTATATATATATATATATATATGTATAATATAAATGAGCGAGGAACTTTATTTATAGATTACTAGCTAAAGTGAGAAAAAAATTTAAGAATTAAGAAAAAAAAATTTTATTTAAAAAAATTTAGTTAATACGGTCCAACCGTTTAGCCAGCTATAGCTAGCATATATGTATACTCCCATACAAATATAAATAGAAGAGCTTCATCATATAGATTATCATTATTATTATTAAATGAACAAGAATTTAACCTTCTATATATAAATTTGGCTTGTCTGTCAGCTTGTTTGTTTGTATCCAATAAACGTCAAAACGGCTGAACCGATCGGGCCCAAATGTGTTTTAAAGGTTTTTAATTTTATGAAAAAATCTAAATTCTTAAAAACCCGCGAATTTTTTTTTTATCCGCAAAAAAAAATTTCTTTTTTGTTTTAAAATGTAAACAAAAAGAACATCATGTTCACAATTTAAATAGAAGATGGGCACGAAGCGCCCTAAAAACCTAGTTTATTTAAAATCCACAATCTCAGATTCATCATTTTTATTTTTTATTCAAATCTTTACCATTTTCCACTCTGTGAATTTTAAATGTTCGATATTTTCCAATCTTATAGATAGCGTATTTACACAAGGATAAAAACACTTAAAGAATTTAAAACACACAACATGTAAAATGTAGATTTTGTACTTTATCATTCTTACTCACATCATCATGGGGAATTTTAGTGTAAACGTGCTATAAAGTTTTGACTTGAAGTTTTGCTATAAATAAAAATAAAATTGCAAGTGCACAACAGTTTCATAAAATTACCTATAACATCACTATTATATTTGGCACAGCTCGGGACAACATAAAATCTGAAAAGGTTTGGACCTTCTCGATAAAGAGAAAATTGCTGTCAAAAATTTTAAAACACTGCAAACCAAAATAAAAGTGTTATAAATAGAATTGTTTTAAATGTTCATTCCCGGATCTAATTGTAAAAAGATAATCTATCTCCTTTTTTTTATATCGAAATGTGTTATTATAATTTTTATTAATATTATTTATATTATTATTATTATT